ATAGAATCATTTTATTGTTTTCTTGATATATTGCATTGTTAATTCAAATTGAGTTTGTGTTGCCATTCGTACAGTCACAAGAGTTGTTTGCGGATGGACGAATATGAGAAATATCAAAATTGATTTCTCTCGAACTGTTAGATATTTTTTCATGATTTTGAATGTTCGTCTTTTGTTTTGCTAATATTTTGTCGTCTCGACTAGTGTTTGCCACTACTCAACAGGGCGAGGGGGGAGCGCCCCCCATGGGGGCTCGGGGGCAACGCCCCCTAAAGAGAATTTTATTTTCAGAAGTTTTTGAATGGGTATATTTGTTCCTACAGATGCGTTCATTTATTTCAAAGAACACACATATTCAAATGGTTGCCTCCATTTCTATATATTTTGGGGGAATTCTCATTAACAAAACACATTAAAAAAATTCGTTATTTTGTATTATTCTCTATTTTCTCTTGGTATTGTCAGTTTATTTATAGAGTGTTTTCTTGATTTGATCAAATAGTCACGGTTTGAATCAAACGCCTCCATTATATCCTGAGAGAGATTTTCTATCATATCACAGTCGTGATTTTGTTGGATATGGGAGAAATATCTCTTAAAAGATAACGATTTTCGTGTCTTGAAGTTCATTAGTCTTTCCAGATTTTCTTACATATTTCTCAACATCAACTTCTTCAAGTATATGTGCCGCACTGTGTTTTTGAAGGGTCGCATTATTCACCAAGATAGATAAATATTTTTATGGAGTTAAGACTGTCTGCAAAATCGAATAATTGGCTTGAAGAAGACTCAAATGTAAAAGAACATGATTGTGGTGTATCCTTAAAAAAAATGTTTATGTTAAGAATTTATATAAATTTGTGGGTATTAAGTAATTCTACTTAAGGTGATTTAAGTAAATAAAAAAATTGATTAAAATTGTGGTGTAACAAGTAAATTTTGTTTTGGTAATATAATTGCCCTATTTTGAATAGTTATTTGTAAGAAAATAGGAAAAAAATTTGAATTTACGTTTAAAATATTTTATTGTATGATTGAAAATGAGTATATAGAAAAAAAGAATTTTCAAATAATAGTTATCAAATAGAGGCTTAGGCCCTGTTTGATATCCCCAATTTTCCATGGAACTTGGAAATCATTTTCCATTTTTTTTGTTGTTTTGAAAAAATTTCCTTGGAATTGATTTTCCACCCTATCCCCGCCGTGACCCATTTTCCTTGTATTCCTTGAATTGGTTTTCACACCACCTTAGTGTGAAAATGATTTTTCAACTTTTTTTTTTTTTATAATGGAATCAAATTTTATCCCCAATTGTAACAAATTATATCTCTTTAATGGACATTTTCATGTAAAACAAAGTCAAACGAATACTAAAATATTCAAAATTTCAATATTTTCCATGTGGAAAATTAGACAATTTAATTCCCTAAAATTCATTTTCTTTCCACCAAAATGCCACTTTTATAATCAAACGGACCCTTAGTGAATTCTCTTGCATCTTGTAAATTTGATGAACCGCGCTTCACTTACTCCCCTAATATGTCTGCCCTATAACGTACAGGGTTGATGTAGCCATTTGCAAATGGAATAATCCAAATTACTTTTTAAAATTTTGCTGGTGTACCAGAAGAGGTGCACCCACCTGGGTGACCGACCCTCACAAGAGGGCGGGACCCACATGGGACCCACGTGTAATAAAAAATGAAAAAAAAAAGTCTCACCCCCTCCCAATGTGTCTGTCTGTCCCTCACCCCTTGGCACTGCTAGGGCCCATGTGGCCTAGCAAGGTAGCATCATCCATCCAAATTTGAATAGAATTTCACAAGAGTTCATGGGCTTATCACAATTCTACTTTACTGATTTTGTTGGATGATGTTTAAAACAATTTTATTTTATATCTAAGGGTATATTCTCTTTATTGTTTTCAAGTCATTTTTAGGTTTCAATTTTCTAAAACACTGAAAACACGTTTATTTACTTATTTTCATAAACGAATTTTCAAAAATGAGTTTAAAATTTACAAAGAAAACGGAAAACGCCAAAAAAGTTGTTTGGGTTGTTTTCAGTTAAAATCAAACCAAAACTTCATTTTTTATTTTTGAAAATAATTTTTTAAAATGACAAAAAGAACGCGTTTTTAGCAATCTCAAAATGGACACTCAAAATCCAAAACTCAAAATGAATTCAAAAGTAAAAACTAAAAACTTAAACACGAAGAGAACAACCCTTAAATTGTTTTTGAAAGAAAAAAAATGTTCTCTAGTTCAGTGTGAGCTAACAGGATCTATGGTTTGGCCTATACAGTAAAAGTTCGATAAATATTTTGAATAATAATTTTTAGGATGATGCATGAAAAATATTTTGGGTTTAGGGTGCAAAATATTTTACTGTGTGGATTAATGATTGAAAATGAGTATATATATATATATAAAGAATTTTCAAATAATGGTTGTCAAACATAAGGGAAATGCTTCGTGTACATAATTATTTAAATAATGTTTTACATAATGATGATGTATCAAAATATAAGTGGAAGAAGTTATTTGATCGATGAGATTATGATCCAATTAAATCTCGTCACATCATCTGTTAGTAAATCATTATGTAAGTTATTATGCATATGTAGCACAACCATTTTCAAAATATGTATTTAAAGTCTTTTGCTTTTTCTTTACTTACTCAACTTCATCCCTAATTTTTTGCAATGCAAATACTATGTTTGGCATATATTTTTTCATTTTATACAAAATAATTATTTAATGTTACAATTGCTTAAATGCCTCTTTTGAAGAAGCAATTGGTAAAACACAACTATAATTTGGATCGTGATAATCATTGATAAGTGTATTGAGTACCATTTGAATAACATTTTTATTAGTAGGAGATTTCATCATCGTGTCATTTACACTACTTAAAAGGTGTTAGACATCCATCACATTTTTATAACATAGATAAGAAATAGTGTCACACAATCCATTGATTTCTTCATCTTCACCAACCTTTTGATTCAACGCTAATATCTTCATATGACCAAATCTCGTAGTACCGAAAATAATTTACAATAGTTGTTTTCACATCATTGTTCTAAGCTGCATTAAATTATTTATCTATCGATATATTAATAACTTGTCTAAAACAAAAACATTTTTTATTTATATTATTATTTTATAGAGATTTTACCGTTTGACAATACAAAAAATTTTAGGTTGTGTATGACATCTGAATAAATAATGTTTAGTTAACTTTTATGGGTTTTGACAATTCAAGTTTAATGAATTTTTTGAGATTTACGAATTTTCATGGATTTTATGAATTTAAATAGATTTTAACTGAATTCATAAGGTCTTAACACGATTCTATATTATAGATTTTATTTGGTTGGCAGTATTTTAATGGATTTCTATGATTTACGATAGAATTATATAACTTCTTAATAGATCACCCCAAAAAAAATTTACTCGCTCCATCTCATTTATATATACTGATTTTATTTTCAATACGGATTAAAAAATCTTATTTAATATTATTGAAAAAAAAATTTGTCAAAAATTTTTCAAATTTACCCTTATTTAATTATCAACAACTAGTAGTAAATTATTATTAAAAGTAGCAAAGAAATAGGGTTTATTAGTGAACGAATAAAATAAAACATTCTCAATAAAGAAACAAGAATATATAATT